GGTTTTGGATGTTGTTTACTTGCCATGTACAGTCCATTGTGCCCTAGCTGCACCTAGGGGCAAATCCTTTTCATTTTACCCACTTTTATAATTTCTGGGATTGAGTCTCACAAATATTGCTTGGTTCCGATTACTTTCTGGTCATATTTCTCTCCAATTTGTATGTTCTCCTTTGTTTTCTGCCCATACATGCAACATTTTTCTACGATGGGCAAAGAGTATACCTAGTTCAGAAGTTGTGCAGTTCTCCACATCAGATCTTAGAATCTGACAGTTTCATCTTAGGGAGTGTCCTTAGGATGCTTTTGAAGGATGCTTCTTTTTTTTCCCTTGCACCGGTCTCTCCACCTATTCAATGTGGGATTCTAGTTATTTATGTGAGAGTAGGTAATGTACTGTATCGGAAGTTATAATGTTCCTACACTGAAAATATATTCCCGATAGGTACCTCCTTTCACATTTTCCGCCCTTCCTCCCCACTGAAAACTGGTGCTTCCATCTTCTGCCAAAACTTGAAGTGATAGTTTGGTAGAATTGGGATCAGTGAATTCCAATGGACAGGAGATAGAAGGATTCTGACATGTGTAAAAAATGTGTTTGTATATAGGGGCAGTATTGAACAAGAATAGCTATTTATGTGAGAGGAGGTACGTCCTTATCTAAAATACATTTTCAGTATAGGAAAATTATAATGTTCTTCTAACTATAGCAAAATTCTCAGCTTCTAGTCTTGCTCTATGTATTCTTTTAGGCATCTTGTGGTGAATACCACATGTTCCTTGGAAAGGTTTGGACAATGTTTTTAGAAAGTCTTATAAAATAGAAAATATCAAACAATTAACCAAACTCTGACAGAACCTGTGATGGATGGAATACTGTTGACATAGTTGATAATGCCTCTGTCTCTAGGTTTACATCTGATGCTAGTTATATTATGGAAGTTAGCATATTGAATTATTTTACCCAGCTGAAATGCCATAGATTTTCAAATTTGGCTTGCATCATTATATATAAAGCCATGGAGGAAAATGTTTCAGCACATGTTCTCTGGAAGTAAAATTGTTAATTATTAAGTGTGTTTATATGTGTTTCTTTAGGGTAACCCCATGGTAGAAATCTCAGCTGAAAGAACAAATCAGGAAACTGAAGTCAATAATTTTATTGTCTGATGAAAGCTGTTTAAACTTTCAACCTAGACTGTATATATAAATTATCTGTGAATGAAACAAAACTCTTAACCCAGACTATGTATGGCCTGTACAATGAGTGTCAGTTATCAGTGAATGACCCAAAACTCTGACCCTGGACTGTGTATGACAGTTATAAATGAATGTATCAAAACTCTAAGCCTATATTGTGCACCAGTCATTAGCAAATTATCCAAAACTCTCAACCTAGATTGTGCATCAATTAACAGTGGGTATACTAAACACAAAATGGTGGTTCTATAAACTGCTACAGGTAGATACTTCAAATTAAATCAATAGATACCGCACTATGCCCAATATTGGAAGCTCTGGCCTTCATATAATGCTTTTAAAATAGGTGACTGCATCTGATTGAAATATTATCTAGTATTTATTGGATTTTCAAAGCTGCCGTTACTAGGAGGGAAGAATTCAGTAAAATTACAGAAATAGAGATTGTTTCAATGAAGTTTTGCCCACACATTCAAGTTTTATAATTGGTTTAAAATTTGCATGTACAGGCTTAATTCAGAATGTATTTCTTTTTCATCAGCATTGTACATTTATATAAACAAATAAATTGTATTCATGGATTGCCTTAAGGTAGTTCTTCAGACTTCATTACACTGATGTCAATATTTAAAACAGGTTTAAAATATCTTTTTTTTTTACATGTACTTGCAGGTGTGTGAAAAAGTGTGAAAACTGTTTCTTTACCATTGCAAAATTAAATCACACCATTTCTAAACCATTTTCAGGTAGACAAATCAGTGCTTCTCTTTCTGTCTCAAGACCAGAAAAAACAATCTTGTGATTTTAGGAAGTAATTTATAAAGCATGAGGAAATGAAATGCTTTCTTGTTTAGACTACTAAAAATGTATATCAATAACAAGAATTCCTATTTTGTTTGTACCTAACACATGGACTAAAAAGGACAATCTGGTCCTTAGTAAACTTAAATCAATCTGTCATTGTTAAGGAAATTATCAATTCACAATTTAAACTCTTGTAAAAGTGATGGCCTTCACTACTATCTGCTGATGGCAACTCATTCCATAAGTCAGTCATCCTTTTATAAAAATAAAACAGTCATAATTGGAATCTTTTCTGTCTTTTACAAATCTTTTATTTGTGTCTTCTCATCCCATTGTCTTCAGAATGTAACACAAAGAAATAAGAGGCCTTTATTCTCTTGATGCTCTGGGTAATTTTGTAAATTTCATTAAGGTCACCCCTTATGCTTCTTTTTTGCAGGAGAAAATTAATTAAAATATCTGTAAAATAATCCTGCCATTCTTGGAATCATCCTAGTAATTCTCCTTCTGATCCCTTCCCAGTAAGTCACTATGTAGGATTTTTAGCAGATTAAAGTGCTGAAGATGTTAGTCATAAAAAAGTGAGGAACAGCCTAATTCCGAAGTTCACAATGTAATGTTGGGCATTTATTGTTGCTTTATTTTCAAGTATTTGTGAGAAAGATGAATTACATATTCACTATGAGAAACTTGCTAGTCAGAAGTAGTGGAGGCCAGCACCTTACAAGAAATTAAAAGTTAGAAAGTCAGTTAAATTATTTTAGGACATTGTTTATTTTGTGCATGTTTTTAAAAGTTATAGTATGGAAACTGATGGTTACTTTGTGGTTACAGGGTTGGTTATGTATGGAAAGAGTTAAAGATTAAATCTTTTTTGGTTTAATGGCTTTTCTTGTTTTTTATTTTGTTATAAAAAAATGTATATTCATTCTTAATTATTTTGCTGAAGCAGTTACTTATTTCTAATTGTATGAAGAAAAAAATGCATAAAATTATAGATTTAGGATTATTTCGTATTTGTGGTTCTTACATATTATCATAATTTTCCCTGAACAAGCCACAAAAGGACATGCAAATAGCAGAATAATAACATTCAAGCTTGAACATAATCTGTAGTTTCAGCTTCTCTTTTATTGAATATTTTAATGTGAAATAAAGAACATAAAACTTATCAGAATTACTGACCAGGATTTATTAATGAACTCCTCAACTTAAGAATAAATTATTATGAAAGAGGTCAAATACACAATATTAAGAGTTTAGGTGTAAATACATAAAAAAAGTACAAATAATTCTTATAAATCTTGTGTTATTGTTTTTATGGTATTCATATCATTGCATATAAAAGGTTTATTCAGTAATGATTACTTGTATTATTTTGGTTAACTTTTTTTTTCTATTGAGCTTCCACTAGAAATTTGTTCATATTGTGAAAGAGAATGTGTGTGTGTGTGTGTGTGTGCTGTGTATATATATATGTCACATGAAAAACATTTATTTTCTAGGAAATGGGTGAATATTGACTTATCTGACAAGATCAACTTTTGTTACTGTTCATATAACCTTGGTTTTTAGTCATTTTACAGTTTCATAACTTAATGTGTATTTTTCTTTATAATAAAAAAATGATAATGTATAAAAGTTCTAACTTATGATGAAAGGACTTTATAGAACTGTTCTGTGTTGTGATTAAAGTTTTTTGTGGAACTTTCTCCTTTATAATGAAAAGCTTATGAAGAATTGTTCTGCTTAATAATAAATGTATTTTATTGATCTGTTCTGTGTTATGATGAACGTTTTTGTTGAACAATTCTATCTTATAATGAAAGGCTTTTGAATAATTTTTCTACCCTAGAATTAAAGGCTTGTGAAGAAATGTTTTACCTTGTGATTAAAGGATTATGTAGAACTGGTCTACCTTGTTATGAAAAGCTGGAGTAGAACTATTCTATCTTGTGATTAAAGGATTCTGTAGAACTGGTCTACCATGTGATTAAAGGATTCTGTAGAACTGGTCTACCATGTGATTAAAAGATTGTGTAGATCTGGTCTACCTTGTAATTAAAGGATTGTGTAGAACTGGTCTACCATGTGATTAAAAGATGTTGTAGAACTGGTCTACTTTGTGATTAAAGGATTGTGTAGAATTGGTCTACCTTGTGATTAAAGGACTCTATAGAACTGGTCTACCATGTGATTAAAAGATTGTGTAGATCTGGTCTACCTTGTAATTAAAGGATTTTGTAGAACTGTTTTACCTTGTAATTAAAGGATTTTGTAGAACTGTTGTACCTTGTGATGAATGGATTTTGTAGAATTGGTTTACCTTATGATGAGTCTTAAGTAGAACTGTTCTGTCTAAACTTTTCTACCTTCATATTAGAAATGATTGAGCTTTTTCATTGTAAAGTTGATGCACTTGACAGCTAAGTCCCTAGTATCATTTTTTTTTAAGTCTGTTAAGTCCTTCATGAAAGTCTTGTGAACCATAGTACGGATAGCTAGTAATGATATGTGCTACATGGAATTACATGCTGATTTATAGGAAATCATTCACATGCCTGCTGAAGTCAGCAAATATTTCCATTATCAGTCTTACAGATTTTTTTGTGAATGTGTTTTTCTCTATGAATATATAGAAAGAACAAGAATGTATATATAAGAATTTATGAGAATTTCATTATATCAGGAGCTCATCAGCAAATATTTTTTTAACTAATTTTTTGAAGAGTTTTTAAAAGATTGATGTTTTAGAGCTGTAATAAGCTTAATACACATTCTCTTTTTTATGTTTATTTGAAACGTTTGTTTAGTTTTCAAAAACTTTGTTTTTAACATAGCTTACCACAAGAATATTCAAGATGATTTTAAGTACCCCACTGTCGTGGAGCTCTCAGACATTATGAAAAGAAGATCTGATGAGAAAACACAAGTTGATAAAATCATCACTTGCTTTAAAGAGTTTCGAAACCTTTACTCTTTAGCTTCTAACTCAAGTAAGAATATTAACAAACATTTTGGAAATAATATTGATCTACATAGATAACATTCCTTTAGTGAAACTACCAGGCTCAAATACTGTTGTTACAGCTTGTAATAAGGGCTGTGTGATTTCTTGTTGGAGATGAACAAGAACTTACACAAAGATAATCAGAATCTTTTTGGTAGAAAGGTTTTAAATAATATTTTGAGAGATGTATAAAAGTTAGCAGGAGTAGTATATTTCTTTTCAATATATTCAGTTTTCTAGATTTGTTTGGTTTTGCTAAGTTCATTTTTACTTTGCAAGAATGCCTTAAGAACATTTTGTAAACCTAATCTTGTTTCTCAGAACATGAAAGTGTGTATTTTATTTACTGAAACTTTTTCTTAATGATACATTTTTGTTTTTCAGTGGATATCAGTCGTTTGGACAAGATAATATCTATGAATTACTCTGAATTTCCACTCTGTGACATTTTATCTTTAAATCAATCATCATCAACACATCCTTGTGCAATGTTTGAATTTGATGCATTTAGTTTCAGTTGGAATGAAATAAGTCGCATGTTTGAATTTGTAGAGTTATTAAATAATGGGAGAGTAATTCAACATATGTTTCATCAAAGAGCAGCCAAATTTGAAAAGGTGAGTGCTAATCCTTTTTAATGAATATTGAGTATCCATTATGTATGGGCTGAATCATGATCTAGTGGTTAGCATAAAAGACTGTGAATTTGAGGATTTATGGCTCATCTCTTATTGGTACAAAAACATGCTTTGCATTTTGGGTCTGTGGGTGCATTATAAGAGCAATGGTGAAATCCAACTATTTGTTAGACCACCCACTATCCAAGCTAAGGGATTGACTCTCACTCTTATAACACACGCAAAACTTAAAGAGCAGGAACTATTTGTAGTATCACATGGATTAAAACCTGTCTCTATAACTCTTAAATCCAGAGACCACAAGACCAACCTCATTGTTTATAAACTGTTCACAGTTACCTAAGAGAGTAAGATAATTTTATCTTACTAACATTCAATATTAATCTTTGATACCTTCTATTAACAAATATAAAAGTTGTAAAATTCCTTTATAAACTTTCTTTTTTATCTTAATCTTCATTATATTCTGGTTTGCAGTGTGACAAAATTATTCCTTCATTTCATGTCTTTAAGCTAAAGGTCAATTTTTTAGGTAAGGGGTTATATGAAGCCAATATCCTCTTTAGAACTATTACTTTTACAGGGAAGTCTGGTAGATTCGGCTAGATAACATTTTTTTTTATTTGATGCTTTGTTTAACATTGGAAATCCTTATTTAACACAGTATCTTATGCAGGATATGGAATATGTTTGAACAGTGGTATTATCACTTTTGTCATAAGTATGAATTCTGAAACATAGAAGGTTTAGTGGTGAGGTATTTTCGAAATAAGATGGAAAACTTAGTTTTACTCCTGCATATTATTCTCTTTGTAAATACAGTTTGAAATTCTAGAAATTTGTTTGGATTCAAACTGTAATGTTAAAGGAATGCATGTCAGAAAATATAATGAATAGAAAAAAGAAAATATTAGTTACAAAACACTTTGTAGGTGGTAAATAAACACTAAGCTAAGTAAAATGACATAGAGAGAAAGAAATGATAAAACTTTCCTTGCTGACTCTTTTATCAAGGAAAGAAACTTAAATTAATATGTTTAGTTTAAAAGAGGAAATTATGCATTGTTTGAATGAACAATTTTATATTAATAAATTGGACAAATACAAGTTTAAGGAATGAGCAAATTAGCTACAATATGCATGTATTTCATTATGCAAATTTCAGAAACATCAGTGGGAAAACATTTTGAAGAATACAGAAATGTTTCCTTATACATATCATTTATACATATTTATTTCGTTTATATTCTAAGAGTATAGAAGTTGTACTTAAAGGGTTAAGTAGTATGGATATGAATTATTTCAGTTGTTTTAGGATGGGCAATTTATGTAGTTCAGCATAGATACTCATAAATGTGTCACTGGCTAAAGTATTAAGGGGTGATTATTTAAATTGATTTTGCCCTAATTTTACAGTTTACTTTCTATTCATTTCAGTTCGTATAATGAAATTCTTTTGATATGTTGTGTACAAAAAAGTATTCATTCTAATATAACATACTGTATATAATGAGCATTGTTACTTTTGCACAAATTTTACTAAATTTGATAAGAGTATTGGAACATTTTTTAGTTCAACATGGATAATAGGTGTTAAATTTTAAAAACGATTTAATTTTTTTTTCATTTGTCGTATTTATTTGAGTCATAGCGAGGTCATTATTGTTGGTTTCACTTGTACATCAACAGGTTTAATGCACGCTTCTTGCTTGAAAAGATTCAGACAGTAAAACTTTGTATGAAAGTATTCGTAGTTGTGCAATACTTTTATACTAAAGTTATATAAGAGCCACTTTTTGTACCCGGTATCATTTATGTAATTTGCTTGCTCTTTGTTTAAGTAAAGCACTCTCTATAATGCTTGCATGATCGTTGTTGGTTTTTGAGAAAGCTCCAAAGATGTTCTTAGAATTATCAGTATAGAATTGTGATGCACTGATGAATGTATTGATGTATTCTAAAGATAGCCTAATCAATAAAGCACATATATTACACATATTCTTACTTAGTGTGATCGAATGGTTCACCAACTATTCAAACTGTTAGGTCTGTTCTTGGCACTATTTTTTATAAGCTGTGCGGCAAGATATACATATTAAAATGGAGCATAAAATACAAATGTTATTGTAATTTTTAATAACTTTCTCCCTATAAAATTTTATTTGTAAAGTGTAATTAAATCAAGCTCTCATTACATTGTTTAATTATTTTCTGGTTATATTAAAGATTGCTTTATGTATATATATTATTTATTTTGTGCATATAAAGAATGCATCACTGGCTTGTGTTTTTATTATCTCTGCCTACTTCTTACTTTAACATGAAAGAAATGCTTTTATAATATGTATACCACAATATAGGACACCAGTGCAAAAAGCATCTTAAAAATCCAAAATACTTATCTTAAAAATATATACATCCTCTCTAAGCATTTCTTGGCTTGCACTTAAATACTATGTTAACAAAATCTACTAAATCTCCCTAATTATTGAAAATGTATATATGGTAATTTGAGCTTCTAAAAACTGCTAGCATTAGATACAGTTAACACTTTAACTCAGTTAGTTGAGCATTTGCTTTGTTGAGAGGTGCTGGGTTCAATTCTGTTTGAAGAGGACACATAAAAATAGGATCATCATATACACTCATGTTTTCACAATGTACTTATTTCAAGTTTTACTTCTTTAAATAAATATGTTTATATTGTGTCATTTTTCCAATTTTACAGAATTTATTATTTTGTAACTACTTTTATTATAAAAGGTTAAAATGAAAATATCTATTGTTTTTGAATTATTTATAACAAAGCTTGTTAGTTATATTTTCAAATATTTCCTGTTTTAAGCTGTGTTTTTATTTATTTCTTTTAGTTGAATGGCCAAAAGTAGTTATTGTTATAAAAATACTTGAGCTGATTTGTCTGGTTCAAATAATTTCACATTTTATTGCTCTTTTAAAAATACTCAACAATGATGAAAAAGTTAGTCTAATATTTGCATTTTTAAAATTTACAAAATATGTATTGCTATAATAGCTTGTCATTCCCAACATTATTTGTGAGATTAAATACCATGTTTAAAAAAGCAATAACCAGCTTTTAGTAATATTACCTTACTTGAAAAACTCCAATTCTTACTGTCATAAGTGATGAGTTATATTCATTGTTTTTCTTTTAATAGATGAAGTAATGACAATTGACAGTTTTCTTAATACATTTTTTGGTTGTTTGGAGATGGAATGGAAAGGCTTCTGTAAAGAACTTGAAATGGGAACATTAAAAATAGGTAAAGCAGAAGAATTGCTACATTTTTTGAGGGAAAATGATGAAGAACTTGAAAAAGAATTAGTGAAAATATGGGAACAGAATAAATTGAGAAGTGAAGTAATGATTGAAAGGCAAACCCAAATCTTGCAACTATTTAAAATTCGTCAGAAAGCAAAAGCTGTCCGAGTTGCAGAAAAGTTGAGACAAATGCTAGGAATTGAAGAGAAGTTTGAAAGTTTTCAGTTCATAATTGACTCAGTGAGTATAATTACTGGGATATATATATATATATATTTAACTTTATCTTGATGAACTTGTGAAATGTGACATCATTTTCTTATTCTTGGAATAATGTTATGGTCATTTTAAAACAAAAATAATTTAATTTTAAAGTATATATATAAATAGTAAAGATGTTTGCACTATCTTTCCTTAGGTTTACAATGCAGTGTATAAGATCAATATATATTTTATGTAGATGTAAAAACCAAATTATTGGGAATTTTATTCTCAAATATTCTTAAAATTACTGGTGGGGGTCATAGGTCACACAGAGATTTTAAATGCATCTTTCTAAACTATTTATGTATCAGATAGATTGCTTGTGAGTTCAAGAATATGTTGATTACAAGGGTCCCTAATGACATGAGACATGTAGATACAAATGTAAATTTAAAAAAATCATAAATATTGCAGTTACTCCCACTAATGAGTACTGCATTTTTTGTAAATTTTATATAGAAAATGAATGAATTAACCCAATTTGTTTTATTAGTCTTATTTATGTTGAATGTTATAATGTGCAAGCAAATATAATCATTCAACATGATGCAATGTGTGTGGACCCTATCAGTAATGAATAGTATAAAGGCATGTCTAAATTGTAGGTTAATTTTGTATCTTCAAGTTTCATAGTTTCTGGAAAACAGTTAAAACATTTAAAATAGCAACTATGTTTTTTATTTTTATATATTTTATTTTGGTAATCATG